CCAGGGGCTGCTGCATTCCTAGACCCAGGGGGTTCCTGCTCCACCCTCCACCACGTACACACCCTGTCCTCTATTTGCTCCCCCTCTAGGCATCCTGAAGAACCGATTGCAGTACCCACTGGTGCCACAGACCCGGGGTGCCCCGGAATTGTCCTGGTGCCGTGCAGCCACCTTGGGCCACCGTGCTGTGCCGGCTGCCTCCTATGGTCGCATCTATGCTGGAGGGGGCACAGGCAGCCTTTCGCAGCCAGCCAGCCGCTACTCCTCTCGAGAACAGCTGGATCTGCTTCTTCGCCGGCAGCTGAGTCGTGAGCGACTGGAGGAGGCCCCTGCCCCTGTCCTGCATCCCCTGAGTCGACCAGGTTCCCAGGAACACCTGGATGCTGTGCCAGGCCGCCTGGAGCCCAGGGATCGGGGCAGCACCCTACCACGGAGGCAGCCACCCAGGGACTATCCTGGTGCCACAGCCGGCCGCTTTGGGTCACGCGATGCGCTGGACCTAGGGGGACCCTGCGACTGGATGCGCACGCTGCCCCCACCGCATGGTGCCCGGGACCTTGACCCACAGCCCCCGCCTCTGCCACTATCTCCCCAGCGACAACTGTCAAGGGACCCCCTCTTGCCATCCCGGCCCCTGGACTCTCTGTCCAGGAAATCGAACTCGGGGGAGCGGCTGGACCATGTGCCTAGCCGGCACCCCTCACGAGAAGGCCTCGGGCCCCCACCGCAGCTGCTCAGAGTCAGGGAAGACCCAGCCAGTGGCCCCAGCCACGGCCCCTCCACAGAGCAGCTGGACATTCTGTCCTCCATCCTTGCCTCCTTCAACTCCTCGGCTCTCTCCTCTTCCGTGCAGTCCTCAAGCACACCCTCGGGCCCTCACACTACAGCCACGCCTTCTGCCACAGCCTCTGCTCTTGGGCCCTCCACGCCACGTTCTGCCACGTCCCACAGCATCTCGGAGCTGTCCCCGGACTCAGAGTAAGCAGGGTCCAGCCACCTGCTCACATCCCCATCAGTTTAGGGCAACTTCCTGGGCACCTGGGTCTGTGTTCCACCACAGAATGGAGCGGGGATTGGCAGACAGCATGGGCTACCCCAGGCTCAGCACTGCCAAGGGGCCACAGGCCAAGGGCAGAAATCTGGCAGCAAATGGGGTGATGAGCCCAGACTTTGTCAGCTGTATGCCTAGGGCCAACCACCCTCCCTTGCACCTCCTGAACTAAAGAGAGCAAGGTGCCTTCCAAAGAGCCTGAGCTAGTGGAAGGGGGCGGGCAGATCCAAGGCCTAGAAGTGGGAGGTAGCCCAATATGTGGAAGGGGCAAGGAGGAGAGGAGGGGTCTCTACTTGGGAGGATTTGCTTAGGGGGTAGAATGGAATAGAAAGGGGCCAGAAGTAGTGCCAGGATGTGGGTGCCTTATATGCCAGGCTGAAGAACTGGGAGTAAATCATTCATTCATTTACTCACTCAGTCAATACTAAGTTCCTTCTGCCTGTGGAGACTGGGCTAGTACACACAGGAACTGAGTTGGGACCTGGTGCATCTCAGGTGCCTGTGGGGTATCTGTAGGGTAGGGGATGGCAGACATACCTGGGAAGCAGCTGAATTACAGGATTCAGAGGGAGTGAGGGGGGAGGGTATAGCTCAAGTGGTAGAGCACATGCCTAGCATGCACAAGGTCCTGGGTTCCATCCCAGTACCTCCTCTAAACATAAATAAACCTAATTATCCCCCCAAGTAAATTAATAATAATAATAATAGCAAAATAAAAATAAAATGCAGAGGGAGTGAGTAGGAATCAGAAATTCCCAGGTCTTGGAAGCCAAAAGCAGAGTTGAGTTTCCAAAGGAGGGACAGCTAGGTCAGGCTCTGTGGAGGTCTGTAGGGTGAGAGGTGACTTTGGAGGGAAGGGCACCCTGGGAGTGGGGCAGGAGACCAACAGTACCTGAGCAGAGTTGGAGGAGGAGACAGGAAGGAGAGGCAGGGGATTTGGGGGCCTGGTGCCCAGAGCCCTGGAAGGATACTGGGGTAGAGAGGAGAGGGAGCTGGGAGCACCCCCTGGCTCCTGCCTTGGGGGTCTGGCTGTTGGGGGATGGGGTGCTTGGGGAACTGAGCAGGGGTTCAGGTTCTGGAGTCCCACTTGACTTCTCTGAGCCTCAGTTTCCTCATCTGCAAAATGTGTCTGTAGTAACAAACTCTTTGAGACATGGAGACTTTTGAGACACAATTTGTCAGGTGCTTGCTAAGCACTTAGAGAAAAGACATAGGTGGCCAGCCAGGGGGCCTTGCTGGTGAGTCTGGGGCTAGGGACTGAGAGGCAAAGGTGTTGGGGGAGGTAAGGAGAGGTGGTCCACGCTGGGTCTGGTGGGGGGGGTGTCCAGAGCCACCTGACAGCAACCACCTGTGACTCCACATTCAACTCTGCAGAGTTCCCAGAAGTGAGAGTCACTCCTGAGGGGCAGACGTGTGGATGAGGAACAGCCGAGGGCGATGGAGGATTTGGGTGAACAGAAGACTCCCGGAGTCAGAGGCTGATCCCAAGGCAGCCTCCTACACCCCTCGCCCCCCAGCTTTCCCCGTTGCTACAGTGCTGACATGTGAGCGTGTGAGCGCAGAGCGAGGGAACTGAAGGGAGGACTTTTATACATTTTGTACCTTTGTAACCAGAGAGATATGCTTATGTTATTTTTCAGCTTTTCTGTCTCCCAGATTCTGAGGCTGGGCTAGGAGGGGGAGGGGGACAGAGGGAAAGAAGTGCAGAGTTTGGCCCCCTTTGGGTCCCTGGCAAATTATATGATATTTCCTCTCATCTTACCAGGGTGGATTCAGACAGGAGGGGTAAATTCCTTCCCCACCCCTCCACTGCCCGCCCAGGTAGATCTGAATATCGTCAGGGCCAAAAGTGCAGAACTGATCTTTGCTTTTTCTTGGATATCCCAGGGGCCAAACTTCTGGGACTGGGAGTTGGTCTTGGAAACAGGGGTCCTCTGACCTCCTCACAGGGGCTCACTCTTGTGTCCCTCCCCATGGATGTGTGTGTTCATTACGTGAGTCCCTGCCACTTACTGCCTTATGACCCAGGACTGATGCTGTGGGGCGCTGGTGGAGCAGCAGATGTCATGTTTACAGAGCAAGGCTTCCCTTTCTCCCATGGGGAGGGGCTCAGGCCTCTATTCAGACATTCCTGCAGAAGGTGGATGGAGGGGTTATTTGCCAGCCCCTGCCCCTGCTGTCAGTAAAAGTTGTCTGTGGTGCCATTTGATTCCCTGACACTGCCCCCTGCTGGAATTTATTCTGCAGGAGAGGTTGGTGGTGGAAGCAAAGGGAGAAGCAGAAACAAGGGAACTGAAGACTCAGAATGTAGGTGCCACTGCCTCCCATGTTTACAGGAGCCTCCCTGGCCCTAGGCACCCGGGCTGCAGGAAGTGACTCAGTTCCATCCCTCCTTAATTCCCTTCTAAAGGGAAAAATGACTGTTAGGACCATGTTCACAAACTCACTTTTATTACTTTGTCTGATGTCCAGAAATGGGGACTTTTAAATTTTGTTACTTTGTTTACAGGTCAAGGTTGAAAACACTTTTAAACTTTGTTTACAACTTACAACTTTGAACTTTTACACTTTGTTTACCGTTGAGAATATTTTTTTCGTTTTGTTTACAAATGAAAGGTAGAGAATGTGGGAGAGGGGTGTGGAGGACCCACCTGTGAGGACCCTGAACCTGGCCACCTTGAGGGGTTTCTAACCCCTCACTCTCCCAGGCCAAAGGTCAGCCCTGAGTCCCTGTAGAACAGCAGGCCCAGTAGGCATCCTCTTACTATGGGGAACAGTGACCAAGCAGGGTTGTGAAGGGTCGGTGCAGACACCCCACTCCTTCATGCACACTCTTGGGAGGCAGTTTTGAAAGAGACTGAAAGCTCTGCTTTACTGACTGGTGCCAAATCCCGCCAGCCAGGACCCCAGCTCTCCTTATCGAGTGTCCCCAGCCGTTGAAGGGTTGAGGGGCCTGCCGTGGGGAGAGGGGGTTGTCCTTGCTATGTCCTAGGTTCTGTAGATGCCCCTCTCCAGAGGTCCCCTCTCCAGCCCAGTGGCTCCTTTCCCTGTCTGTGTAAATTGTTCCGTGAAGCCGCGCTCTGTTTTGGGAATAAACTTCTATAGAAAATGGTTATTGCCTCTTTCTGTTTGGGGGTGGGGTACCAGGGTGGCTATGAATGATTCAGGCCAGGCTGACCTTTGGGAGAAATGTGAGCACTGCCCTCACCCACCTTCCCAAGAATATTCGGCTATTTTTAGCTTATTTCATTGGAGATTTGGACCAGGTTCCGATCTCTTTCATCCTGAATTTTGTCCAGTGGCCTTGAGGTTGGGCCTGAAGTATGAGCACACGTACTGAGAGTCAAGGCAACAACTTGATGGCTTCCTAAGTCTGCAGGGCCTGCAGCCCTCACCTGGCATTTTCTCTGGCAGTCAGACCCACCTTAGGAACTGCCCTCAGCCCACTGACAGCACTGAGGAGCCTCTCAGACTTGGAATTGCCGGGACATAGCGTTCCTCCGGAACTCAGGCAGAAGGCTTCGGGCCTGATGCCCGGCCTGTGCTATGTCCAGGAGAGGGGAACCTCTCAGCCTTTCAGGTCTGCGCGTCCAGGGTTAAAGGGAGGCCTTTGAGCCCCTTCGGTCTCAGAGAGGTCTCAGGGGGAAAGCCTGAGGGTGGCGTTCTCAGTTGGAGGCCTCCAGGATCTGGATACTTCCCCCGCCCCACCTAGAGAGCTAATGCTCTAGTTACCAGCCACGCCCCTAGACATCCAGCTCCCCATCCCCCGGGGACCCTCCGCAAGAAGCCAGGACCTGGTATCAGCCTCGTCCCACTCAGGGACCTGCGGCTGCGGCTGCGGATACGGCCAGGCCAGCTCGGGTCCTTAGTCCCAGTTTTTCGGTAACAACTGACTCAGGGAGGAGAGCTCGGCGGGCCACGAGGGGGAGCACAAGCCAAGCCGCAGCGGGAGGAAGGAGTTAAATCTCCCTCCTTGGAGGTCGCTACACCCGGGGAGCGTCCCTTAGGCCCCGCCCCGGCACGCTGACTGGCCCACGCCTTCCCGGTCCTGCCCCGGGACTGGCCGCTGGGAGCGCGCCTCCGGCGTTGCCTTGGTCCCGGACTCGCCTTTCGGGCCATAGCGGCCTCCTGCCGGAGGTGTAGGAGCTGCCGCCTCTGGGCTGCCCTCCAGCCATGGGGCTATCGGAAGCGCCGGGGTGAGTGCAGGGCGGGGCCCGGGTTCCCCATGTTCCAGTCTGCGAGGCGCGGGCCGCCCTTCGGCCCCCGCGCAGGCGCCCGGCTTGGGTCAGCGCGGAAGGGGTACCGCCGAGTCCCAAGCAGGCATTTCCCGCCTGCCGCGCGTCGGTTTACCGCTTTGTCGATCTTACGCAGGCGGCTGCCCAGCTGTAGCGAGGGATGGGGCGGGAGCCGGAGCGACCTCGGCTCCTGCGGGCTGTGCGGAAAGCCGCTTGAGCGCCGTTCGAGGGTTAGCCGGGGACCGCCCGTAGGCGGCTGCGTGCAGAGGAGCCCCGGCCCAGGAAATGCGCGCTGGGGCCCGGGAGGTCGCTGCAAGAGTGTCCATAACGGGAGCCTGAGTCTACCCAGCGATGCAACTGGTCCTGGAATTAGTTCTCCCGCCTTTCAGCCTGCCGGGCCCTCCCAGGCGGGTGGGGCCACAGATTTCAGCCCCGCCTTCCGAGCACGGATCCTGCGGGGGGGGGGGGTGGGGGAGGCCCTTAAGACCTCGAGTGACTCACGGAGGAGGGGCGAGGGGGCTCAAAGATCTCTGTGAGACGGCGATGCAGAGTCTCCAAGGATCGTCCTTGCACCCTCTCCACTCCTTCCTCCAACCGGGACATCCAGGTTAGAGGCCTTTTCTAGGTGAGCTCCTGCCACTCGGGTGGGATCCCCCACCTTGGTCAGAGTTTCTCACAGATCAGAACTTTCCTGACAGGTAAAGGCTTTCCCAGCAGGGGAGAGCTTCCCTCCAGGTAAGACTCCCCTTTCTGGAATCCACTACCAGGTGAAAGCTTTCTCCCATTATAGGTGGGAGCCTCCCCCAGGTCAGAGCTTCCCTTAAGTGAGAATCCCCTCTAGACCGGAACATTCCTGGCAGGTGAAAACTTTCCCCCAGATAAGCCCTCCCCTTCTAAGAGCTCCTATTCCCAGGTGAGAACTGTTCCTGGGATAGCTTCCCCCGGGTAAGAACTCCCTCTCCCCACATCTCCTAGATTCCCAAGTGAGATCTTTCCCCTTATTCGGTGGTAGCTACTGGGCAGATGAGAAATTCTCCCCAGGACAGAACTTACCTCACTGGTGAAAACTTTCCTGTCAGGTGAGAGCTTCCCCTTAGGTGAGATCGTTCCCCCTTCAGATGGGAGCTTGCCTTTACAGGCAGAAACCTTTCCTTCCAGGTGAGAGCCACCCCTGGCTTTCCCAGAAGAGGCCTGAACTTGTCTACAGTCTGGACCCTGGGGCCAGAGGCCCAGGGGCAATCTTAGCCCCAAAACTTACCTTCTCTTAGAGCCTCCTCATGTGACGAAAATCTTGCCTAGTTTGCTGGATTCCTTCCTTGCATGTGCTCCCAGACAGCATGCACTGGGCTCATGGGCAGTTGGATAAGGACTCAGACTAGACAGGGATTGGCTGGGGAAGAGCAGGGCCTGAGGGAAGGGGGCTAGGAGGGGCAGTCAGCCTGGGACCCAGACTGGTGAACACTCAGGGCTGGGCAGTCGCAGCTGGGCTGAAGCTTTGGTTGCGCTCATCCTGCTGTCTTCGTGGGGGACTTTGGCCCATCAAGAGTCTGCCACCAGCCAAAGTTCAGGTACTGCCCCTGGCTGGGCGTGGGCATGGAGCCCGCAGGAACCAGCTGGGGGGGTTGGACCTACCTAGATCTTGGGACCTAGAGAAGTCAGGTGGGTGACTTTCTGGTCCCTTGGGGAGGTAGGGCCAGGAGTGCCCTCACTATGTCTCTCGCCTCACCACCCCAGACAAAGGGACACACAGGCACTGCTGTCCACAACGCATGCGATGGAGCTGAGGAGGCGAGACTACCATGTGGAGCGGCCACTGCTGAACCAGGAACGGCTGGAGGAGCTGGGAAGGAGGGGTTCAGCAGCTGGGACCCGCCAATGGCGAACCTGGTTTCGGTGAGGTGGGTGGGGGCTGGGAACCCTGCAGGACTTAGGTAGCACCTGTCCCTAATACCTACCCTTGTGTCTCCAGGTGTTCCCGTGCTCGGGCCCGAGCCCTTCTGCTCCAATACCTCCCAATTTTGGCTTGGCTACCCCAGTATCCAGTGCGTGAGTGGCTTCTGGGTGACCTGTTGTCTGGCCTGAGTGTGGCCATTATGCAGCTACCACAGGGTGAGCCACCCCTGGCCCCGAGGCTGCACCCTTAACCCTTGGGTGGTGACCCTGACCGTTCAAGGCCCTGGCCTGGAGGCCCTGTGGTCTGCAACACCCCCTACTCCAAACCTGAAGCCATGACCCCTGCCCCTGGAACTATGGCCCATGACCTAGGGCTGGGATTCCCTCATCCTTTCAAGGTCCTGTCCTCCAAGCCTACATTGCTACCATTCCATCCCCAGGCCTGGCCTACGCCCTTCTGGCTGGACTGCCCCCTGTGTTTGGCCTCTACAGTTCCTTCTACCCTGTCTTTATCTATTTCCTATTCGGCACTTCCCGGCACATCTCCGTGGGTGAGTGGAGCAGGCCCAGCCTTACAGGAGGCTGTTCACATTCTCCACAGAGGAAAGGGTGAGGGAGGGCTGAGCAGGGCAAGGAAACATCAGGAAGAGGGAGGGAGGCATTGGTGCTGGGCTGCTGGGAGGCCGGCCCAAGGGTCATTCCCAGGCAGCACTGGACCTCTGACCACAGAGCCACAGATTCAGGTTCCACAGAGGCCCTGGCCTAGGAGCAACTGGGCCAGGGTCAGCTGGTGAGTGAAGCAACTCAAGGGGCCCAGACTTGGAACAGAACTGATAGCCTGAGGCAGGTCATGCTCTCTTCCCCATTCCACCTTTTACAAGGGGAGCGGTCCTGAGCCAGTGGACACAGGTCGGTCAAGGTAGATGATGGGGGCTGCACTTAAGAGTCCTTGAACATTTCTAGTTGCCCTCAAGAGCTTTGAACTTAGGGTTCATGTCTGACTGACAGCCTTGCCTCTATTTGCATGGCCTAGTCTGAGGATATTTGTCTAGAATTGCATGTCTCCTGGCCTCTCCCTTAAGACCAGGGCTGCAGGGCAGGGCAGTGTCCTTTATCTTTGAGACCTACCCTGATCTGTCTCTGCAGGCACTTTTGCTGTCATGTCCGTGATGGTGGGCAGTGTGACAGAATCGCTGGCCCCAGATGAGGCCTTCCTGCAGGACTTGAACTCCACAGTCAATGTAACGGCCAGAGACGCTGCCCGGGTGCAGCTGGCCTCCACACTCAGTGTCCTGGTTGGCCTCTTCCAGGTCAGGAGTACATGCCCCCGACTGCCCAACCCAGCCCCAACCCCATCTGCCAGTTCCCCTGAGTGTCGGGCCATCACCGTATTCCCCCTCCATCACTCATACCCCTCTGATCCCACCTGCCCTGGGCTCTGCTCTGGCCACCCCTAGGACCCTCTCCTCCCCTGACTGCCCCATCCACCCCACAGGTGGGGCTAGGCCTGGTGCATTTCGGCTTTGTGGTCACCTACCTGTCTGAGCCTCTTGTCCGCGGCTATACCACAGCTGCATCCGTGCAGGTCTTCGTCTCGCAGCTCAAGTATGTGTTTGGCCTCTATCTGAGCAGCCGCTCTGGGCCGCTGTCCCTCATCTATGTGAGTGAGGGTAGGAGGAGGGACTGGAGGGTGGGAGGAGGAACTGATGGGTGTGCCCAGGACCTTGAGCGCTGGCTGTGACCCTGTCTCCCCTCAGACAGTACTGGAGGTCTGCTGGAAGCTGCCCCAGAGCGTGGTGGGCACCATGGTGACCGCAGTTGTGGCAGGGGTGGTACTCGTGCTGGTGAAGCTGTTGAATGACAAACTACGTCGACATCTGCCCCTGCCGATCCCCGGGGAGCTGCTTACGGTTCGAACTCAGGGTGTTGGGCACGGGGGAAGGGCAAGTGAGAATATGTCCCTGCCACATGGGCATCCATAAGGTATTGAAAGACTAGCTGGAGTGGGCAGTGGTAAGCGTTCCTGAGGACTGGGGAGGCCACAGCATAGTCCCCTACAGCATCTCCCCTTTCCCCAGATGGCGGTGTCTGTCTCTCACCCTTTTGCTGACTTCTCCCCACCTCTCTGAAGATTTCGCTTCAGGCTTCTTCCTTCACCCCCAGAGTGGTTTCTCCATCCCCCTTAACAATGGTGCTGGCACCTCCCTCCCCTGACTCTGTCCTCTCCCCCCAAGCTCATCGGGGCCACGGGCATCTCCTACGGCGTGGGCCTGCAGCACAGATTTGGGGTGGATGTCGTGGGCAAAATCCCTGCAGGGTGAGCTCTGGCCCCAGTTGGGTCAGGGAGGGTTTGGGTGGCCAGGGCCAGAACCTTCCTGTGGCCTCACGGATGCCCCTCACAGGATGCTGCCTCCAGTGGCCCCCAGCCCCCAGCTGTTTGCCAAGCTTGTGGGAAATGCCTTCGCCATCGCTGTGGTTGGGTTCGCCATTGCCATCTCGCTGGGGAAGATTTTTGCCCTGAGGCATGGCTACCGGGTGGACAGCAACCAGGTCTGGGGGATGGGATGAGGGACATGAGGGGGCAGGTGTACAGGGACCCCAGGGCCTAGGGACACAGGGAAACAGCAAACAGATGGGCTGCAGCCAGGAGGGGGGACTGAGGATGGGAGAGCAGGACAGGAGGGGACAGCAGCCAAGTCTTTGGGGACTACTGAGTGAGGATGGAGGTGGGCCTAGACGCAGTGACCAGGCACTGCTAGTGAAAGATCCTCACACCTGGACTCCCCCCTCCAGGAGCTGGTGGCCCTCGGCCTTAGTAACCTCATCGGGGGCATCTTCCAGTGCTTCCCTGTGAGCTGCTCTATGTCCCGGAGCCTGGTTCAGGAGAGCACGGGGGGCAACACACAGGTGGGTTTCAGGTGTGGGCGGGGGTGTGCGTCTGTGCCTCCCCTTTCCCTCTCTCTCCCTACCCCCTGCTCCCCCAGTTCCCCTGTACACGGGCCCACTCCCTGCGTACTCCCACTCCGCAGGTGGCTGGAGCCGTCTCCTCCCTCTTCATCCTCATTATCATCCTCAAACTTGGTGAACTCTTCCAAGACCTGCCCAAGGTGAGCCTGCACCCCCACCCCCACCCAGCCAGGCCTGAGGGCCTTGGCCAGGCCAGGGATGCAGATCAGTCACTCGGGTCCTGGGTAAGGGGGAGGGATACAGGGTCATGCTGTTTGTCAAGCTTGCGATCTCTGGGGTGAAATTTGGAGTCAAGGGTCATGGGTGAGAACTTTTCAGAGTCAGATGCAGGTTAGGTGAGGGGGGCAGGTGGTGGTCAGTGTCACTTGGGGTCATACTGAGACTCTTGGGATCAGCATGGCTGATGCCCAGGCAGTCTGGGTTGTCGGCTTCCAGGCACTTCTTAGTCCCTGCTGCCGCGCTCCTGTCCCCTAGGCAGTCCTGGCAGCCGTCATCATCGTGAATCTGAAGGGCATGCTGATGCAGTTCAGAGACATATGCTCCCTCTGGAAGGCAAATAGAGTGGATCTGGTGAGAGGCCTGGGTGCCGGGGGCAGGAGCAGGCCCCTCAGCCCCAGTGGCCCATCTAGACCCTGTTGACCCCTGCCCTTCTATTTTCAGCTCATCTGGCTGGTGACCTTTGTAGCCACTATCCTGCTGAACCTGGACATTGGTCTGGTAGTGGCAGTAGTCTTCTCCCTGCTGCTCGTGGTGGTCCGCACACAGATGTGAGTCGCCTCTTTGGTACCCTCATTCCAGCTGATGAAGGAGTCCACCCTGGCTTCCCCCAGCTTTCCTACATCTTGAGGGTGACCCCAGGCTCATTAGTACCCCCTTGTCACTCTTTCTCCTAACACCACTCTTATCTCACACTCACTCTCTCCTTCACAGGCCCCACTACTCTGTCCTGGGCCAGGTGCCAGACACGGATATTTACAGAGATGTGGCAGAATACTCAGAAGTGAGTGGCAGGGACTAAGCAAGAGGAAGGCGTGGATGGGGTGGGACAAAAACAGCATAGTGGGGCACTAAGGGTGCTTTGGACCTTGGAATTTCAAGGGAGAAATTTGGGTCTATGACCCTTCCATTCAGAGTATGGGCCTGGGGGTTGGGGGACAGGGTCTGTGTTAGAGGCAGCCGTACAAGCCTCATCCTGCAGAATAGCCTTGGGTCAGGAATGCTGAGCAGCAAGCTCTAGGGCACCAGGATGTAGGGGAGACTGTTTCTTGATCTGATCAGTGGGTTTACTGAATCTCTGTCCCTCATTTACCACCTGAGAAGTCTCATGCCAAGCTCTGGGAACAAAGGTGGGGGCTCTGGAATAAAACCAGATCATTCTGCCTGAGATGGAGCCTTGAGGGCTGAGCACAATATGATGAGGCAAAATGAGGGGAGGACATCAGGGGAGCAGCTCAGCTGGATGGAAAGGGAAGTGGTGGGGAGAGGACATCACTTGGGCCCAAATGCTGAGCAGAGACCTGGAGTGGGAGCCTGACTTGGGTGGGAGCCAGGGAAGGCTTGGCTGGTCTGGCAGCTGAGGTGGGGCCGTCTGTCCACACGCAGAAAACAGCCCACAGTGCAGGGACTGGAGACCCAAGTGGAGGCTGAGAGCCTTTGAAACCTGGCCTGGGTGTTGGCAGAAAGGCAGGGGAAATGGAGCAGGAGAGGTTCAGGATGCCCTGAAGAAAGAAGAGGAAGGTGGCTGAGGGCCTGGCAGAGGGAACAGGATAAGGGGTCAGAATAACCCGGGCAGGCTGGGCCTCTATCTCCCTGGGGAGCAGAGGGTTGGAGGGGACAGATATGGGAGGCACACAGAGAAGAAAGAAAGGAGAACAGGATGCCGCTAGGAGAGACGAGGGCTCAGCCACCCCCAACCCTGACCCATCTGCAGGCCAGGGAGGTCCCGGGCGTGAAGGTGTTCCGCTCCTCGGCCACCGTGTACTTTGCCAACGCTGAGCTCTACAGTGACGCGCTGAAGCAGAGGGTGAGGCCTGGGGTCCACGGAGTAAGTGGCAGAGGGCTCCTCACCTCCCCAGGGTCCACATCCCCTGCCCTGCCCTCTGTTCTAGTGCGGTGTGAACGTGGACCACCTCATCTCCCAGAAGAAGAAGCTGCTCAGGAAGCAGGAGCTGAAGCTGAAGCGACTGCAGAAGGAGAATAAGCTCCTGAAACAGGCAGGGGCCCCTCTGAGCCAGCGACTCCTGCCGCTGACCCCACCCAGCCTTTCCCAGCCTCCTGGCTTCCCACCTCATTCTTCATCCCTCCTCCTCTCTCCCTGATGCTCTCGGGGACCCTGCTTTACTCCTCTGGCAGGTCAAGGCTCTAGAGGGGCCATTTTGTCTTTCTCTCACCTGCTAAGCTGGTGACAGCATGAACTGCCACAGTCATATTCCATTTATGGCTATCCCTGAAGCTGGTCCAAACCCCAAGGCCTTCAGCCTGGCTGCCCTGGGTCCCAAACTTCAGGTCCTGATCCACCTACCTTCCCAAAGCCAGTGGATGACACCAGGCCTGCCTGTCATACGACAGCTGGGCCAGCTCTTTCTAGCCCCCCTCTTCCCCGGCCTAGGCTGCCGCCTCCAAGGGCACTTCGGTTTCCATCAGTGTCAACGCCAGTGTCACCGACATCGACAGCAGCAATGCAGAGGACTCCAAGGCCAAGGTGCGGCTGGAGGTGGGAGAGGGGCCAGCCATGCGCTGCAGAGATGAGGGTGCCCGGGCATGACCTGTGGGGAAATTCGTAGACCCACAAGCTATGGATTCCAGATTGTTGTGCCATTGGCAGGAGGAATGAGGCAATGGATCAGAAGCTCTGTGGGGAGATCTCTAGTGATGTGCCACCCAGTTCTGCTTGTGGCTCTCCGGTCTGTAATCTGAGGTCTAGGTGAAGACCCTGAATTTGTGGATTCCATAAGACCCTGCAGTCTGTGCTCATGGGTAGAGGGAAAGGATGAGGCATGCGGGAAAAATCTGGGATTAAAGGGGACACCAATCTCAATTAGAGGCTCAGGCGAAGTCCAAGATACCTATGTATCCACATGTGTCCACATGTGTCTTCTGGTTTATCCCCGAGCCCCCTGCCCACTCCACTCTGGCTTAAGATGGGGCATGGTCTCCCAGCACCCCTCCTTCTTAAGCATCCCTATTAAGGCTGAACCCGGGGATAAAAGAGCAGGAGATGCATGTCTGCGTGTGCTCCCTGAGTCTGGGCATCCTCTCCTGTGTGTCCCCATGTGTCCCTCCTGTCTTGACATACAGGCTCCTTGTGTCCATGTCCTCATGTGTCCCCTGCATGCCCCATATATGTGGGAGCTGACATTCACGCTCCCACGTCTGATCCTGTGCATCTCTGCACATCTCTGCACATTCTCTGCCTTCACCCACCACGGGCGGCCCTCGCAGTGTGTTTGCTTCCCCAGCAGGGGACTGCAGGGAATGAGCTAGAGGATATGGCAGCCAGGGGTCCAGAAGATGCCAAGGCCCCAGACATGTCCTCACTGAAGGCCCTGGGCCTGCCTCAGCCAGATTTCCACAGCCTCATCCTGGATCTGGGCGCCCTCTCCTTTGTAGACACTGTGTTCCTCAAAAGCCTGAAGAATGTAAGGGGCTGGGGGCACCCCTGAGATGGGCCCTGGCGGGGGGGATGAGGCCTCTCCACTCTGACCCCTTGACAAGGTCCAAGAACCCTCTGAGCCTGATCCCCAGACTCTCTGAGCTCCCCCTCGGACCCCTGCTGCCTGCCTGAGTCCCCACTCAGAACCCCTGAGCCTCCCCCTGAGGCTGGCCCCCCTTTCTGCTGCAGATTTTCCGTGACTTCCGGGAGATCGAGGTGGAAGTCTACATGGCCTCCTGTCACTGTACGTGGGGTGGGGACACCAGGAGTGGTCCAGGTGGGGTGTGGGGATTCCAGCCAAGGTATCTGCCAAGGCACAGGGAGAAAGTCTTTATCTGAAACTGGAGGTCAGAGGTGTCCTGGGAGGCAGAGGTCAAGGGTCAAGTGTTGGAGGTTAGCTATAAACCTCAGGAGTGAAAGTCAAGGTGACATTCTGCTGGTGCCTGGGGGTTGGGTTTCTTGGTGGTTCTGCGAGTCAGGAGAGACCTCTCCTTACCTCCAGCTCCCGTGATCACCCAGCTTGAGGCCGGGCACTTCTTCGATGCAACTATCACCAAGCAGCATCTCTTTGCCTCTGTCCACGATGCTGTCATCTTTGCACTCCAGCGTCTGAGGTCCAGCCCCGTCAGCCCTGTTTCGGTGAGCTGACCTCTAGCCAAGCTCTTTTTGTTTATCTACTGCTTGTCCCACCCTGAGCCCAGTTACAGGAAGTCCACCCTGCCTGGATGGCTCTGAATGGCTCTGCCCGCTGTGGACCCCCTGCCTTTCCCTCCTGCCTTTAGATGAAGCTGCTCCTGGGAGAGGGGGTGGTATGTGTCCTTTGGAAACTGACAGGAGCCTCTCTCCTCTCCCTGGCCAGGTTACCAAACTCTGACCGTGCTGCCCCCTGCCTGAGACTGCTCACATCTGGAGGTTGTGATGGGGTACCCATGAGAACCCCCCAACCCCTGGGCTGCCTCCATGTGTTCCCCAGGAGTCCCCTCCACATGCACACACACACACAACTCAGGGATGGAGGTCCTGGGACTCCAAGTTCAATTCTCTAGGCCTGCGATGAGGCACTGGGCAAGTTGGAGGAGCATACATGGTTTTAGTCTCAGGAATAAAGATTTGTTTGCCCAATGCCAGGCTCTGCTGTGGTTTGGTGGGGGCAGGGGCATGATCCACAGTCCTGGCTACAGACCCTTCTTCTGCCCAAAAGTTGGGGCTGGAGTCAGAAGTTGGGGGGAAGGTGTGGAGAGGGCCGGGTCAAGCAGGGGGCGTGCGGAGCAGGAGGGAGAGCTATGCGGCCAGGCCCAGGGTGGGGGCTTCCCAGGTCCAAGTTTCTCCCCAGCCGCGCACAGCCCTCAGCGCCTGTGTCCTCAGCTATAAGCTAGATGGAATCAGAGCTGCTTCTCAGGAGTGATCTGTTCTCAGGGACACCCGATAAGGTGCAGGGCAGGCAGGGTACCACTGGGCAGCCCCTGGAGGGTGTGGTGTGAACACCTGAGCAACCCACTGAGACAGTGCAGGTGTTCACAGGGGTTGCTGGTCTGCATTTAAAAGTAAGAATGTGAGCAATTACTTTACTAGGGGTAAAATGCCTGTTTGTATAATTAGATCACCTGGGCTTCACAGGGCACTGTTGGCCAAGGACCATGTGTTGGTTTCTGCCGTAAACCACCAGCATCTGGCCAGATGGTCTAGTGGGTAGCAGGGGGCCTTCAGGCCAGCTGATACTGAGTGACTGAGGGCCCAGGGTGGGGGTTGAATCTTTCTGGGCCTCAGTGTCCTCACCAAGCGAGCAGGAATGGTAATAGTACCCACCTCCTGGGTTGCTCAATGAATGTTTTTTTGCTGGCTGGGGAGGTAATTAGGTGTATTTATTTAGTTTTTTTTTCAAATGGAGGTACTGGGGATTGAACCCAGGACCTCATGCATGCTAAGCATGCGCTCTACCACTGAGCTATATACCCTTCCCCCACAATGAGTATTAAATGAGTAAATGCCACAAAAGGCTTGCGACAGTGCTAGGCTCATGTCACCTGCCAAAACATGAGAGCTTTGCCGTTGGCAAGTGATGACCAGGTGCTGGGCTCGGTGCTGGGCCAGAGGACAGAAGCTAAGCTGTCCTGCCCTGCAACGCACGGAGGCATTCCCTTGCCTGGCTGTTTCTATCCTGACCTGAGTCAGTGCCATGCATCGTGTTCACAAATCATCTGTCTTCCCCACCCCCACCCCCCAACCTCACCCAGGAAGTCAGGGCTCTTTGTCTTCTCTGTTATGCTGCGTCCACCCACCAGGAACAGCGCCTAGCACACGGAGGTGCTTGGTAAATACTGGTTAACTGACGCTTCTGCGCTGGAGTGGAAGGTAAACCTCAAACATAAACTTGCAGATACAGGCAGACCTCACTTTATTGCACCTCACAAGTAGTGCATTTTTTGTTTTTTGTGTTTTTTTTAACAAGTTGAAAAGTTTGTGGCAACCCCACCTTGAGCAAGCCTGTCGGTGCCATCTTACCCCACAACATTTGCTCACTTCTTGTGACAGTGTCACATTTTGGTAATTCTTGCAATATTGCAAACTTTTTCATTATTATTATATTATGTGGATCTGACATCAATGATCTTTGATGTTATTGCTGTGACTCACTGAAGGCTCGCCTGCTGGTTAGCATTTTTTAGAAGTAAAGTGTGTTTGTACTAAGGTATGTACTTTTTTTTCAACATAATGCTACTGCACACTTAAGACTACAGTGTAGTGTAAACATAACTTTTATGTGCACTGGGACACAAAAAATTTGTGTGACTCGCCCTATTGTGGTGGCCTGGAACTGAACCACTGTATCTCCGAGGTACACCTGTACAGAGAAATGCTTTGAAGGAAATAAAACAGGGTCTTGTGAGAGAGAAGGGATTGTGTTACCCAGGATGGTCCTGGGAGGGAGGCTCAGGGAGCAGGTGACACTTGAACTGAAACGCCAGCCATGAGAAGTCTCTTTCCAGGACAGTGCTCCTGGCGTCGGGAGCAGCGGGTGTGTTCAAGGAACACCTAGGAGGCCAAAGCACAGGCACCTCACAGGCCAAGGGTGAGCCTTTAAGCTTTATTTCCACATTTTTAGCATTCACTCTGTTGTCGCAAGGACTATGGAACTGAGCTGGGTGGAGGGGACCAGAATGCTCTGTGCGCTCTGCTAGGGGCGGGTGGAGAGCAGCATGGGGAGCTGTTGGGGTGAGAGTTTCAGGGGTTGGATGTTAGGTGAGGAGGTGGGAGAGGGGAAAGGAGGCACTTCTTCAGCCCTGGGCCCCAAGACGCCATCCTCCCAGCCCTGGAACAAATCCCCTGTCCTATACCTTCTGGCCAGGTGGCCCCTCATGAAAGCCATGGGCCCAGCTGGAACCTGCTGCCTAGCCTGCCCCCGGGGGAGGGGTGTTTGCCTGTTGCCAGGCACCCGGGTTCCGGCCCCTGGCACTTGCCGCCGCCATGGTGCAGGCACAGTCTTTCCTGCTGTGGCTGCTTCTGCTAGTGATGCCTGTCCACACCCATGCCTGGTCACGGCCCCTGTGGTACCAGGTGGGGCTGGACTTACAGCCCTGGGGGTGCCAGCCAAATAGCCTGGAAGGTTGTGAGGGCAGCCTGGGCTGTCCCGGCTATTGGATGGGCCTGGGGGTGAACCGCATCTACCCTGTGGCAGGGGTCACGGTCACCACTGCCATGATGCTGATGCTCAGCCGTGTGGTGATGCAGTGGCGGCGCTCACAGGCTACTAAGAGTGAGGTAAGCCTGGCACTGCTCTGCCCCGACAGCCTTCTACCTCCACCCATCCTCCCACTCACATCTTGTGGGCCTCCTGCTGCCCTCCCCCCATCGCTCACACCCCAGGGTCCCTACATTGTCCTCAACCAACAATCTCTGACCTCTCCCCATGGATGGTACCCTGCCCCTATCCTCCCCCTTTAATTCCCCTACTCCTCATCTAGCCTCCATGGGCCCCTATGACCACACTCGCCCACAACAGACCCTCTGTGATCCTCCGTCACCCTAAGTCCCCCTTCCCACCACACTTCTGTCCTATTCCTCTGTTCTCACTCCTGCCTCTTGGTCCTATCCTCAGCACCCACAGGTGACTGCTGACACCTGTGTGCCCTGGAAACGACGGGGCCCTGTCTCAGACCGCGCCCTGCTCCTTGGGGTCCTGCATATGCTGGATGCCCTCCTGGTCCACATCGAGGGCCACCTGCAGCATCTAGCCACCAAGCAGCGAACCCAAATAAAGGGGACTCCCACCTAGAGCGAGTGAGCCAACATCTGCCTCTCTTTGCCTGGTGGCCTGTTGGGGAGGGGATGGCCTGAGGCTCTGGGCCAGTCTCAGGCCCATGTGTCTTGTTCTCTCCAGGCCTGTCTGGCCCCAGTGCCATTTTCCTACTTTTAGAGCCTCAGTGCCCAGGACGGCTGGGCGGGCAGGGCCGCGGCTGGCTCACAGTGCTCCACGGCCCCCATCAAGTGACCCCTCTTCTCTAAGGATCCCACTCACAAATACAGCTGCTCCTCTGGGGCTCCTCAGGGGCCCCCAGTGTGGTGGGAGAAGACTTGGCCATCAGGGCAGACTTGAGTGGTTCACAGAGGGCAGCCCGGAGGCGGTGACCACCTGGCTGAGTCAGCTAGGGCTCCTGGTTGAGGATGGTGGGTCCAAGCTGGGACTGGGGGGTAGAGGGTGGGCCCTGGCTGCCATCAACTTTGTGACATCTCAACATGCTTTGTCACTCAAATGGCCCTTGCTCTAAGGCCCCTGGAAGCGGGGTGAGGGCTGAACCTCCCCAAAGGGGCCCTCACCCCCTTCCTCTCTTCCTTCTACCATAGGTAGTCCCGGTTGAGCAGGTACTGAGGCCTATGCATCTGGAGGGTTTCTGTTTTAGAAAAAGAATACAACATTACGAATTCAAAAACAGAGATAATTAAAATCAGAAAAATCATGACCACGTACACATTTTTAAAAGTTGACAAATACTACAACACAAAATCCAGAACAATAACATTTTTGTGGTGACTTCCTGATACATTTCTGTAATATTTCTCCTCCGTGTTTTCTGGCTGTTCTCTCCCCGATGGCCTCGACATAGGATAAGGATTTCACAATTTGGGGAGAAACATTTTCTATACGGAGAATAGAAAGATACTTCAGTCTTTCTTCTATCCTGGTTGATTGAAATTTGTGATTTAATTATTGATAGTTTAGAAAACTAATTTCATGGTGTCACATAAAAGGTCTGGCTTGTTTTCAGTTTTGGGAAACTGTCATCAACTCTCTGTCCTATAAGAGCTGTATGATTTGGAAGAATTTTCCACAAATGAGCTTCTGGCTCCACACATTTCAAACCTTGTTCTCCCTCCATAGCTCATGATTTTTCTAGCATTGAGTATGGTGAGGGCAGGGTCTAAATGCAGCAGGACCTTGCACTTATGTTTTGACCAGGAGCTCTAATCCAGCAGGAGGTTCCTGGAGGCCATTCCTGCGCCAGGACAGGAATAATAAGTTGGCTGTATATAGGAGTGAAGCAAACCACATAAACATGTCCCTCTAAACCCAAACCAAGTATGTCCCTATGATAGACTGAGAGATGTGCCACCTGGGTTCCCCTTGAAGGAAGGCCTGCTGTTGCCAGCCACTGAGAGCATAGCCAGTCTTCTCTCTCCTTCAGATGTCAATCTTAAGAACCATCTTGGTAAACAGCCTCATCTCCCTCTTGGAGTCTGCTTCCCAGAGAATCCAAGCTGGGACAATCCACCATCCTCCCAATCCACCTCTTGGACCCCCAAAATTATAGCCTCCTGGTGTCCCCCATATGAGAGGAAGTGGACTGCATGGGAGTCTGACTGGAAAAGGACAGAGATCCTAAGTAGATGGAGTTAGATGATCATAACCTTGCAAGTTTTCCAAAAATACTTGAGCCCATGGACACCCGACTAGAGCTCCTCGCAAGGCCTGGAAATGAAGGGTGTTGAAAGCTGAGCTTCATCAGCCTCTTGTTAGATGCACTTCTATATTCTACAAAGTTTAATAAGCACTTACTGTTTGCTAGCCCTATTGTGGATGGCAGGATCTGCTGATGTACAGAACAGAACTGGCTCCCCCTTCACCCACTCACAATTAGGGAAGGGTGGTGGCAGCAGTGAAACAGGCTCAAAAAGGCAATTACTCTGCAGAGAGGCATGCTGACAGGTTGGGGTGGGGCAGGTGTGAGCTGACGGCTGGAACCTGAAGGATGAGTGGGGTGATAGGAAGGGAGGGTGCTCCAGTCAGAAAGATAAGCACATACAGGGGCCTGGTGAAGCAAGAGAACTTGACCTATTCCAGAAAGTATATGGTGGTCAGGATTTCAGGTGGAAGAAAGAGGTATGGAGAGCAGGAGGGAGCAGCCTCCAGAGGGGCAGGAGTTGGTGCCTCCCAGGGAGGTGGTGGTAGGTAGAATAATGACCCCTCAAGATGTCCATGGAGCGGGGAAGGAGACAGTTCAGTGGTAGAATGCAAGTTTAGCATGCATGAGGTCCTGGGTTTAATCCCCAGTACCTCCATCAAAAAAATAAAATGATAAAAAATCTAATTATCCCCCCCTTCAAGGAAACAAAAAAAGATGCCCATGAAACGTGTGGATATCTTATAGCACATGGCAAAAAAGAACTTTGCGAATGGAATTAAGGTTAAAGACATTTAAATAGGAAGATTATTCTGGATTATTTTGGTGGGCCCAGTATAACCGCATGAGCCCTTAAAGGTAGAAAAGTTGGACAGATCCAAAGTGTGAAAAATACTAGTTTTCTGCTGCTGTCTTTAGAGATGGTGGAAGAGATCTCCCACCATCCAGAGATCCAAGGAATTCAGGTGATCTGTAGAAGCTGGGAATGACCCTTAGGTGATAGCTAGCAAGAAAACAAACCTTGCTCCTTCAACTACTAGAATCTAAAGGCTGCCAACAACCTGAATGACTGAATACACAATCTCTCTAGAGCCTCCAAAAAGAAACACAGCCCTGCTGATAGCTTGATTTCAGCCCAGTGATATTGATGTTGGACTTTGGGCCTGCAGAACTATGAGATAATAAATTTGTTTTGTTCTAAGCCTTTAACTCTGGTGATTGTTATGGCAGCAATAGAAAACTACTATGGATGTCGGTATTAATACTTTGCTGAAAGAAATTAGACATAAATAAATGGAAAGATACTCCATGTTCATGGACTGGAGTACTTAATATTGTTAAAATGACAGTACTATGCTGGGAAACAAGCCACTGGACAACAAGCAGCTAGAAAACAAGCCACATATAGATTTCCATGAGCTTAAAACATTGTATTCACACTTGCTTGCTTAAAATGCACATGCTTGCTTTGTTTTAGTGTTTTCCGTAGTAGATGACCTATAACACGTATTATGCTAAAGAAAATTTGTAAGGGGCAATCCTGAGACTGACCATAAAGGCACGAAGGAGGGCAGATATTTCCTTAGGGTAAAACAAATGGTCCTCGAAAGCCAGATCATCCATTAACAGAGCTCTGTTCTGGCATGAAAGCAAGTGGTTTAACCCAGGGGAAATATTTGCTATCTCGAGATGCCCCGGAGGCAATAACAGGATAGACTTAGAAATTTTGCATACCCCGAGGAGGGTGATTGTTCCTGAAAGGGATAGGCCTGAAATTAATCAGTTAATCAGCAAGCAGAACTTTGTGCTTCTCGCATGGGATATCTAAAGCCTCACCTCTTTGATTGCATTTTTTTTCCTGAGCTGTATACTCCTAATAAATATGATTGTGACCAGGCTTTCAGCACTCTAGATCCACAAGATCTTGAGTCCCCTGTTCCCATCTTTGCTCTTTACTTTGTCTCTTTCTTTCTCAAGTCTTGTGTTGCCCGCCCTCAGACACGGTCCCAAGCTGCGCTGGACGCAGCAGTACTACCCAGTGGTCTATAGATTCAGTGTAATCCCTATGAAATTCTCAATGGTTCTTGTTAGAGAAATAGAAAAACCCATTCAAAAATTTATATGGAATCTCGAGGGACCCTGAATAGCCAAGAGAATCTTGAAAAAGAAGAACAAAGTTGAAGGACTCATGCTTTCTGATTTCCAAAATGTAGTACAAAGATACTGTAATCAAAACAGTGTGGTACTGGCATAAGAATAGACACACAGACTAACGGAATAGAATAGAGAGCCAGAAATAAACCTAGAAGAATGCACTGGTGTGTATGTCAAATAAATATTGAGTGAGAAAGTGGGGGCCTGCCACAGCCCTCTCAGGCAGCCCGCATGAACTGGGTTTTACAGTTTTGAGAATCTCTGTGGGTAATTAATGGAGTCTCAGACATGAGGAGAGAAAGAAGGTCTCGTCAAGAATTGCTGTTACAAAGTTCAGTTCGTAATTTAGGGGGGAAGGGGATATTTTGATCTTACCTCACTCCATATGCCAAGTAAAGTCCAGAAAATCAGTGAGTCACTGAAGACTCTTGCCAAATCGTGGCAAGGACCACTGCTTGTATGTGACCTTTTAGTAACATTTCCTTTTTGACCAACTTCTTGAAACATGTCCTTCCGTGGGCGTCTAGCACATGACACTTCCTGGTTGTCTCATTGTCCTTCCCTTCTCAGCCCAGGGGAGCTGTAGGGGTGGGGAAGGGGGTTAGGTAACTGGATTTAGAAATTATTGGATTTGTTAAAAAAAAATTGGGTGTGGATTTTGAGAGAGTGGAGTCAAGGATGAGCAGCTGGGTTCATGGAGGTGCCATTTACTGAGATGAAGACAATTATGGGAGGAACAGGCTTGGGAGAAAGCCTTCAGCTTTAGCATGCTTAATTGAGATGTCTGTTGGCCCTCCAGGAGAGATGGTGAGTAAATGATGGGAAAATGGGGGCCACTGTATGTACAGACAGCACTGAAGCCATGAGACTGGACAAAATGACCAAAGGGCAAGTTTTGATCAAGAAAGGAAGAAGCACCAGGACTGAGCCCTGGGAACTCAACTGTGTAGGAGTTTGGAGGTAAGGAGGAACCAGCAGAGGTGCTAAGACAAAGTGTCCAGAGAGGTAGGAAAGCACAGGAGAGCATGGGAACCTGGAGGTGGAGAATGCATGAAGCTCTAAGGAGGAAAGAGTGGCCAAACATGTTAAACAAGACTTAGCATTTTGACCATTGACTATAGTACCATGGAGCTCATGGATTACTCTGACAGGTGTGGTTTTGCAAGAGTGAAGTCGGGGCTGGACTGAAGTGGGTTTGGGAGAGAGAGTGAGAGGAGAGGAATTGGAGGCAGAGCTCTTTGCGGGAGCTCTGCTAGATGGAGAGTGTAGAGTGCGCTGGTCACTAGAGGAGGTGTGTTACAGGCAAGAGGAGCTGAAGGAGACATGACAACGAAATGTCATGTGGTGTCCTGGATCGAATCCTAGAACCAAAAAGGAAATTAGGTAAAAACTAAAACTAAGGGAATCTAAACAAACTATGGACT